TTTTTTTTTTTTGATTACTATAACTATCTGAAATGCCCTTTAGAAGCTTGCACCCATAGCCCTGCCTCCGTGTCAAGGAGAAACTAATGTTAAGCACAAATTATGTTGTGATGCAACCCAACCGAATGTTTAGTTGATTTTCTTTCCTTTCTTTTTCTTTAAAAAGATTTTATTAATGTGTGTATGGTAGTTGTTTTAAATTAGCCCATGTTTTAACCATAAGGGATCGTGATCCTGTTTCTTTTTACGACAAAATAGCTCATTATATCACGGCCTTTTACTAAATTGCTAAAACGGCTTTTGGACTTTCGCAGAGAATATCATGACCATTGATTTCTTTGCAAAACGATACACCAAAGTCAGAAATCGACCATCAGTGCTTTTATGTCATGTCTGAACAACCTTTATTACCCAGAATTAAAAAATATGATGTGGATATGATTGTCACGTGTAGGGTTGCAAACAAGTCGAGCGGCCCACGAGCCGCTCGCGAGCGCTCGAGTCAAAGCTCGACTCGAGCTCGAGTTTGACCGAACTCGAGTCGAGTTCGAGCGGCTCGAGCACGTCGTGCTCGAGCCTATATTTTGCCGTGTCGAGCGGCTCGAGATATACATTAATGACTAAAATACACCTTATATATATATTAGCATAGGTGGTTAATGGTAATTTTACCTAATTTTCGAGCCGAACTCGAGTCGAGCTCGAGTCGAGCTCGAGCCGAGCTCGAGCTATTGTTATTTCTTATCGAGTCGAGCTCGAGCCTAAAAAATCAAGCTCGACGAGCTCGAGCAGCTAAAAAAAAAAAAACTCAATCCTGCTCGATAAGGCTAATGCTCGACTCGGCTCGGCTCGGCTCGGCTCGTTTGCACCCCTAGTCACGTGTACAATGACATGCAAAACAAGTATAAATAGCCTGAAATCAATTTGGAATTCAAAAACCCTAATCACGGGGAAATTGCCGTTTTCGGGGAGATGAAAATTGCGCAAAAGCAAGAATCCGTCGACCAGGACATGAAATTCAGGCTCAGACATATTTTGTGAATCGTTTTCAAGCGAGTGGAAGTGGAGGCGTATCAGGTGGTGAGTGTTCCCGGCAAGTCTTTGATCGGGAAAACGTAGTGTGCGGGCCAGTCAAAGGCTTCGGCGGTTGCGTAGAGCGGGAAGAAGGTTCTTGAGCTGGATCTGAGCTCTCGATAGTTCTCGTCCGTCGTCGAGGTGAGAAATTGGGAGTCGTCGCCGGCGAAGGCTCGACGATTGAAGTCCCGTGTTACGGCGGAACGCGAGCTGCAATCAACGAGGTAGTTGCCAATCGTGGAGAAGGTGGACGAGGAGGAGAGGAGGGAGATGAGGAGAGGGAGAGGGTTTTCGTCGTTGCCATTGGCAGGGAGCTTCGATGGTTTTCTGAAAGTTTTCAGTTATCTTGTTTTCAACGCATATGAATTACGATTGGTTTGTTGGAGCTTCGAAAATTTGGGCGAGAAAATGTCTTCGAAGACGAGTTGGTAGAGTCGCTTGACATGGAGCTTCAATTGTAGATGATTGTGGGATATTGCGATCATTTGAGCTGCAATTTTGGGAAATTAGGATTAGGGTTCGTGGATAAAAATTAGAGATTTCGAAATTTAAGGATTTGAGTATGTGAATTCCAAAAATCTGATTTGGGCTATTTATACTCATTTTCCATGTCATTGTACACGTAGGACAATCATATCCACTGTCATATTTTCTAATTCCAGGTAATAAAGTTTGGTCGGACACGTAAGCACCGATGGCCGGATTATGACTTTGGTGTATTGTTTTGCAAAGGAATCAAAGGTCGTGATATTCTCCGCAAAGGCCAAAAAGTCGTGATGTTTTAGCAATTTAGTAAAAGGTCGTGATATAACGAGCTATTTTGCCTCTTTTTACCCCTAATCTGTTTAATTTTTGTCTCAGGCAGCTTTCTTTGTTAGTCTTTGTTTTGCTGTTGGATAAGCTAATGCTATTTCTGTTAATCTGCTGTTTCTTAGCTATGCTTACCACAAAACACTGTCTCGAAGTTTCATCAACTTGGGTTCTCTGATTTCATTTTTCTGTTTACTATGTTCGTGGATCAGATTGTAGATTTACTCGAGCTGTCTTTACTCTCCAAAACTCCTCTGACAGAACTGATTTTCAATGAAGATAGATGCATAAGTGATTGCTCAAAGTGTCTAGAGAAAATATCACAGCAATTACTGCAGCAGGTATCGAAAGAAAACCCATCAGAAGCCAGCTCTAAGAAAATGACCGTGAAAGCCGTTATACAGAAATCCACTAACAAGATATTGTTTGTTGAGGCTGGGGATGATTTTCTAGATTTTCTCTGTAGTTTCCTCGTAACCCCATTAGGTGCCCTTGAGTGCCTTCTTGGCGGCAATACAGGTTTTCACAGTATAGACAGTTTGTATGGAAGCATATCAAATATAGATGGTGATAAATATTTCAGGAAAAAAGATATTAAATCCATGTTGCTAAAACCTCAGCTGTTCTCTGGTTATGCCTTTGAACATTATTTCCTTCCTTTGGTTGAGAAAGATTCATCTTCATTTATCCGAGGAAAATTTATCAAGGAGAACACAATGTACATTGTAACTGATGATCTAATGGTCACACCTTTCAACATGGCATCCAGCTTCTCTTTACTAAGGCGGCATAAAATACCGTTATCTGATTTGGATGAGGTGGAGCTTGTAGTGGGTCTGGATGAGGTAATATATATATATATATATATATATATATATATCTATACACATTTTTTTTTTTGTTATGTTTTCATTTAATAATCTTACTTCCGTAGTTACTTTGATTTGTCATGCAGGCTTTAAGAATCTTGAAGGCATCTCTTACGTCAACTAGTGCTCTAACAGATGGCCTAATGAATTCCATCTGAAAGAGAGAACCAAGAACATCAAGGCTGGCCATTGTGCGTTCTCATGCAGTTGTTGATTTAAGTAGTTTCACTCGGTTTGCGAGTGTAAAATGTAATGTTTTGACTGCTGTGTTATTTGTAGTTTGTAAGCAGGATGTTAATGCTTAGTATTCGTGATAAGAATCTTTGACATGGTCTGGGTAAAGGATTGACCTTTTGTATGGATGCTTAGATTATCTTTTTTGTGCAAATCTTGATTTGACTGTTGTATTTTGCATTAAGTTCCCACTCTGGATCTATCACGATCACCATAAACTAGTATGAGTATTTTCAGCTGTGACCGGGCTGGGCTGGGATATGATGCAATTGTCTGTATATTCTTGGCCCGGCCTATTTTGGTATGACGGTTTGCTATTCCAGAAATTAAATCATTTATCGGCTCCACAATTTCGTCGAGGCACAAACAATAATGATGATAATACCCAACCTGTCAAGGAGGAGGAAGAGATCAGAGAAGCACTAACGGTAGTGATGACTTCACCCCCTTGTTTTTTCAGTCCCATTGGGATATAATTGTTCTGCCATTATATAATTTTTTTCAATAATTGTTTGATGCCTAGTCACTTAAATCACACCATTATCTCCTGAATCCCAAAAATTCAGAATCCTAAAAAAATCTCGGATTTCCGTCCTATCAGTCTTTGTTTCACATAAATAAATGCACATAATAATCATACACATTCTATGCATATGCATATGGGCTTAATTTCACATAAATAAATACTCCATCCACAATCATAACATTATATAGCCATCATTAACATACCTGCTAAACATTCCAACTACATATAACATATACATATATATATATATATATAGCGGTCGAAAAACAAGAA